TGAAAATTACTACCTACTCTTTTCCTTTTACAATATGCAGCCTATTACAAACAAGAATGCTGTTGCTGGACTTGTTTATGAACATGTCCAGACCTTAGTCTGGATTATCAAAAGTAATGACAACAATTTCCTCTTCCTTTACTACCTTTATTTGTTCTTTCTAAAGATTAATTTGGAAGACTACTTCTTCCAGTGCTGTTATGTTTATTCAGGGTATTTTTCTCTTGTGTTTGCTGACATTAAGTTTTATTTGATGCATAACGTACTGCCAGCTGATGGCCAGTGTCTGTTGATCCTAATAGAAAAATCCTACTTGCATGCTACCAGCTTTTGTAAGGAGAAACAAATAACAGACATAACTGAAGTAGCCCTCAAGTAGCTGTTAAGTAGAGCAGAACTTTTATCTGTATAACGCGTCTTTAATTTGACAACTTGTCTTTTCATAAGCACATAGTTTAAAATAATAGTAGGTTTAGAAAATAACTAAGCATGGAATTCTGGCGTACTGTAAATACAAAAGGCAAGCCTGTATGGCCCTGGCACCCTTTGTCTGCCAGATAGAGACATTAGTAATGGCTAATGGGAATCAGTCACCTTAAGAAAGGAATATGATCAGGTACTATCAAGGAAAGATGCCAGTGCCAGCTCCTCCTGAAACATGGCAGTCATTCTGACGATAAGACACGCACACCGCACACCCCCCTCCCCCATGGACTTAGAAAACGTTCAGTTCTCCTAAATACAGCTATTCTCAAGGTAGAGGTAATAACGCTAACCTATTTGACAGGATATAAAGAATGAGTTCAGTTTCACAGGGTGAAATGGTCAGTATTGTTATATTTTGAAATACAGTTAAAGAGTTGTATTGATAACCCTTTTCCTTCATTTATGATATGAAGTGCATGAATTTCAGTAATCTTTATTATAACACGTCTACAATACAAACTTTCAGAACAGCAAGAGAAGAAAAAGATCCCATCAGTTGGGCAAATAGTGTTCCCACAATGTAAATCAGTAAAATAAACACAGGTTTTGAACATGCATCTCAGTGCTTGCTGAATTGGAAAATTTTGTATGAGTAAAATCAAGAATGCATTTACACTGCATAAACTGTGCACATAAGCACTTTTCTGACTCAAGACCTAACATCTCTGTCCACAGCCTCTTTATGAATAAATAGCAGAATCCAGCTTTTTGGCACATTAACTTTAAGAACATGAGTTAGTGGAAAACACTTTATTCAGTAGAATTGAGAATAACTTGAAAAACATGGAGTAAATAGAGAACAGTTATCAGGAAGAGGGGGCATAAAGCCTCCTTGAAATCCTAAATTCAAATGTGCCTTAAGTCATGACTGAAATATAAACTTGTTGATTTCAACTGAGTGGCTAAGAGAAGAGGCTTGTTCAGATCATTACATTGCAAGAGAAGTGTTTATAGCTGCCAGGCTTTGTTCCAGAGAGAAAAGTGTCAAATAAATGCATATTATATATAAATATATGAGCAGAGTAAGGAAAAAAATATTAAAAATATCTAATGGTAGACAACAAAGTATTGTCCTGATCTGTCTTACTAAGCATCATCGGAGACTCTCATAAACAACAGTAATTCACAGAAATAGTAAATGATGTTTATAAATGAATGAAACCCTGATGACACCCTCTCTGAGGAGAGAAGTAGAAATAATCCCCTCAATCCTTCTGCGTGGGAAAGCCAGAGAAATGTGCAAACCAGTGATATGTGAAATGAAGACTGAAGAGTTCAGGATCTAACTTAGATGATGCTTCTGACCTAAAGGACTAGTAAATCCTTTTTATTGCTGCAATTGCCATAACACTTACATGGGGAGAAAAAGATTTTTTGCTGGGAATTAAGCATCCTTTTATAACAACCTTCAATGTAATTAGGGAAATAGCATTTGTTTTCCATGGATTCAGTTATCTGGCCTCAGGAAAGCAGGATAAAGTTGAATTAACATGCTTGGGAGCTGATCTGCCTGGTGTGTGTAGGTGAGCCACACTGCAGTAGTGTGGCCCTCCTGAGTTGTGTCAATGTGGTTGGTTGTGCATCTGCTTTAGAAACAAGGCCTGGGGATCAGTTCTGTGTCTGCTCTAGGGGCAAGGTTAGGGTGCCAGTCCTGCTTCCATAATAAAACTGCTGTGGGGAAGGGCTGTAAGGTGTATTCACACTGCTTCACATCATGGCCATGAAAAGTTGTGGTGGCTTAACCCAGGGAATGGTGCTCAACCAGATGAGGGACAGTAATGGTTAGGATTGACACTGCTCTCTGTGTGCCTCTGCTAGTGAAGCTGTGAGTCTGCTACTAAGAACAGAAACAGCCATTCTAGGGATTCTCCCAGGAAACAGCAATGTCAGAACTGACACAATGTTTGCAGTAATAAACTGTGCTGGCAAAATTCTTGCAGATGTCACCAAAATGTAAATGAACTCCACTGACTCAGGGAAGTAATCTCCAGAAGAGAGAGACACAGAACTTATTTGCATTTCACAGGGAATTGCAAATATCATTGTATTTTCTCCTCCTCTCGGACTGAGACTGTTGGCTCAATGTCAACAGTGTAGAGATACATTTCTCTTTCTTGAAACTAGTTTAATACCAAGATAATAAAGTGTGTATCCCTGTGCTTGTCAGCCAGCTGTTTTTCACACATACTTTGCTGCAGGAATCCTGATTCTCAATAACTAAGAATACGGTATATTATATAGTACAACAGAAACACGTAGAAGTATATAGCTGGTACAGAAACAAAAAGGTCACTCAACAAAAAATACAAGAGATTCATCACTTCGGTAAGATGCAGTGAGGACAGTCCACAGGCTTTTGTTGGGGCTCCAAACGCTTGCCCTGATTACTACACTGGAGATAGTAGACAGCATTTGCCTGTAAAATACTATAGAAACCCCATTCTGGAAATATTCTCTGGAACATGAGTTAACAAGAAGGACGAGAAATTCACCTGATGATAAAAATGCATGAACAATTTAGGTACAATGCAACATATTCATTTTTGTTGTCTGGAGAAAGGAAAGATCCTCAGGATAAAACCAAAATACACAGAGATAGTATGGGAATGTTACTTACATTTCCCACTTTTTAAAAACATAGACCAAATACGAAATAAAACCAACAGGCCTAAGTGTTATATGATCACTGTAAAGAATAAATAGTACAGTAATGCCCACTGCAGAAGAGATGAAAGCATATTAAAATAAAAACTAAAAAAAAAACCACCCCCCCCCAAAAAACCCAAACACATTTCCATAGCAAGACTCTTTTTCCCTATTTTCTATCTTCACATAACCTATGTATTATTCATTAGAAGTAATTGCTCTGCATAAGGTAAGTATGCTCATAAATCGTCTTCTACAGGACACAGAAAGAGCAGGAAAATTAGAATGTGACTTAACATAGAATGTAAGACATACGTGATGTGCTGCAGACATTGTTGGTTGGGTTTAATTTAAATCACAAGTCAATTCACGGAAGAGCAGAGTTGAGGTATTAATTACCCTTTGGTTATTGACATACTCAACTCATTCAGTTAAAGCCCCGTTCTACTCAAATGCATTGGTATGTCAGTTCACAGCCTCAGTGCTACCATCTGTCCTGAGAGACCTACAATGCAATTTGAACACTGCCGGCCCTTTCAGTAGGCACACAGGCACACAGTAGAGTTGTTCTGACAAAATTGGGTCATCCTTGTATGAAGGATGACTTAATAAGCCAAAAGAAAAGGGGGGGGTGGGGCGGAGAGGTTTATAGTCTTGACGTCTTAAATTGTGCAGAATTTGTTTATTGTTTGGTGCTTGAGAAATGGACTTGTGTCCTGAGAGATGCTAGCATCCTAATGATGTGGTGCTGGATAACACACTACTCTTTGGCACTAAAACCATGCCTTTCCTTTGAAAAGGGGAACTAGCATTTAGACTTTGGATACCAAGTTCCTGATACATCATCTCTTCTAGCAAGACAGAAGAAAGTATGTTGATTATAATGGTGGTAGATTTCTGGTCATTAGCTGCCCATTGCACTGCCAAGTCTAGCAAGCACCACGTCTCCCTGTTGTGTAGGACACTATCCTAAGAGGGAGCTAACACAATGAAAAATAAGTGCACAGATTTTCCTTCCATAACCTAAGAAAAGCCACGTGACCCATTATATTGAACCAGAAGAGCCTGCCACACTTTACTTAGAAGAATGGGGCACCTACAGCATCAGAGTTCTATGGTGATAGTTCTGCTCTCAGCCCTTTAGCACTTGTTACATCCAAGTCAGAAGAGAAAAGATAGGTAAGACACCTGCCTCTGCAGTTATGAAGGACAGGCAAACTGGCATTCACCAAATGGAAGTATAACATGCCTTAAAGTCAGTATCCTTCCTACCGCTTCATGGAAAAATGAAAACCTTGCTTCAGTCTGCTGAGCTGCAGAAAAAGCCTAATTTTGTCAGCAAACAATGCCAACAGGGGTGAGAAAAGCTTTTTATTAAAGGATGATAAGTGAAAGGTAAGATGAAGCCTGACATTAGGCAAACTAACTTCATATTAATCTTGATTTGGGATCATAGCATAGCAACTATTTGTGATAATATATGTATATACACATTTGTAGGAGGCAGACACGGGGTTTACGGGTTTTATGTATTCATATTAAATTATCTTGAGTAAGAATCCAAAGGATGGTGTCTATAGAGTAAATAAGACTAATGAAATATTCCATTAATTCAAAGACATCTATCACAAATGTCACCACATCCCTACCATAGAAAGAGGTTCCATGCAAACATTATGTGCATGTTGGTGGGACCCATGTCTACAACCCACTCCTCTCTCCCCAAGCCTCTGAGCCCCAAATTGCCCACTGCAGCTAGGACTGCTTTTTGTGATAACACAACTAATCCTTTTAACCCAGTCTTCGACCTAACTGAACAGCCTGGTGACTGACCTTCTTGCATCTTTCTCCTGTCCACCCTAACTAAGCTGTTCTGTGCGAGGAGCAGAGAAGAGGTACTGTAGCAGATGGAAGAGGTATTAGTGTTTTCACTGGCTCTTCAATGTTAACTACTGGGACAAGTAAGTGTATTTTTATTTGGACAAAGCTTAATGAAACAACTGGTACAAATAGTCTTTGAAAATAAAGATCCCATTCCTGCAGGTGAGGATTTCCTTAATAACTCCTCAGTGATTTCCTCCTTCCACTCAGGAAGCTATTGTCACACTAAGGAAGCCACACCTAAAGCAAATGTGACAGATCAACTACATGTTATTCCAAGTTTCAAGAACCTTTCTCCCACACTTACTCTTGTAATTCAATACTAATAATGAAAACTAAGTATATTAATATATATCCTAATATATATTAATATATATTTACTTAATATATATATAATTATATATTAAGTAAAGAAATATGTTTCTTTACAGGAACATATTAATTAGAATTAAAAGTTGCTACTTCAGGATGAGGCAAAACCTTTAAGTCGTATTTCTCTGCTTAAAATTGCTTTTAGAGTTTACAGAAAAAATATATATATTACTAAGATCAAAACAATTTGCCAAAATTTCAGTGGAGAAAAATAAAAATTTTATTGAAAGATACTACCATAACAAAAAAAGTAATTTCAAATCTAATTTGATAAGCTTACAAATAATGATTTTAAGTCATGCTCCTGACTTAGAGATGCTTGCATGGATGAATAATTCATCTGATCTTCTCTCATGGTCGCTCTGCATGTACATGAACACTGCACATGTAAAAGTGGTATGAATGCAGCTCTGAAAAGACAGCATTCCCCCAGCATATCTTACTGGCATCCTGCTCCTTTGGAATTCTACCTTGGTGAAGTGTCTGCTTCTTTGTAATTTTATGTTTGGGAACAATTGAGAAATAAGCAGACAACTGAGCCAGTGCACAAGATAATTTGACTGTACACTGTATTGATTCCTCTTATAATGATTCATGAACTGAAGACTTGTTTGGATAGAGGAGAAGCAGTGCAAAAGAAATTACAGGGTACCCTGTACTTCATCAGTGATACTACCTCGTAGTCAGTGAGAGAGCAAAAAAAATCTTGTGCTAAATTAATCAGAGGAAATAGGCACATAATTCATACAGTCCATAATCATTTTGACAAATATTGCAAATTAATGAATTAAAAACTGTTCATCACTTTTTATCTCAGTCACAGTAATTTTCTATGGTTGATACATATATGTTTCTCTTAGCAGTTTTGGGGTAACTAGACATTGATAAAGGGCAATGTGAGGAACAAACATACACATTATTAGGCTATCTCTAATCTTTTGTCACAGAGGGTTTATCTCCAAGTAACACAGGAGATGAACAGGAGCAGTGACTGTAGAACCAAAAATCTCACTGAACAGCCTAGGCACTTCCTGCATCAGTGATGTTGCCCATACCTTCCCAAGCATTTAGTGCTTGCAGGCTGAGGTATATTGCTAGCAATGAGGCCATCTGTTTTTATCATCAATCCTGTCTTCCCTGGCCCAACCCTAAAATCTGGTATTTCAGGAAACTATGCAGCAGCTGCTTGTTAGAAAATTCTGATCTCATCCCCAGAAGGATTTGACAAGATAGTATTAACAAGCAACACATCAATTTAATAATCCCAACAGCATGATAATTCTTGTATCATATGCTGTTAGCACAAGGGAGACCAGAGGATCTAAAGTGAAAGTCCTTGCACTATGTGATACTCAGTACAGTCTTTAGAACTAATTGTAATACTACAACATGCAAAGCCCAAATATGATAAAAATGCAGGTGTAGCTCCATAAAACACAGTGGTTACCATACTTAAAATTTCTAGCACATTTCTCCAATGCAGGAGCTATCTAGAAGGTGGGATCTTATTTTTTGGACAGTGTTCATACCTTCTTGGTGGGGGTGAGGAGACACGATAAATACCCAAACAGAAAACACTCACAAAAATCACACACAAACCAACCAGAGAAAGACTCTCACAAACCACCAAACAAAAAAAAAACCACTTAACTTCAAACCACATTCGCTCACCTTCCTGTACCAATTTACCTCTTCCTGCTTCAAGTCATGAATGACCTGTCGTAGTACAGTATCAAAACAACCCCACCACTGTTGATTAGGACCCCTTAAAAAGATACCTCTTGAGGTTCTTTTCATTCACAGGAAAAAGGACCAGGTTTTTAAAGCTGTTCAAAGCCCTGCGACTCTGCTGCTGTTGGCAGGGATTTCTCCCAAGTCTTTAATTGCAAAGTCATTATGAAGATAGTGTCCAGTACAGATGACACACATCCTATTGTGCCTTGCTAGGATTTGGTATTTTTTAGTAACTCTGGAGCACCATTTTCCCCCTTTTATTACTTTCAGTGCTACATCACTTTCATGAATAAGACCTTTTCAGAATAGCATTCACTTTTCTCCAGCTCACACATTGTAATTTTACTGTGTTGTATAAAATACGAGCTGTTTTCATGCTGTCAGTTTCTTTACGAAGAAAATCATTGTCTACTAATGTAAACAATATAATATTTAAATTTGCTCATAATCTTTGACTGCTTTTTAATCTGGTTGTTCATGCACAAGAAATTGAAGATGCCAGAATTGAAGTTGCATTGTATCCAGCTGTTACACAAATATTCCTCCACGTAAGAGCAGGTGCATACAGTTCACATATCTGGCACATGTTTAGCAGTCTGTTTTGGGATGGTGATAAATTCTTCTAATGTGAACTCTTTACACTGCAGTCACTCTGAAGGACATTGTGAGTTCTCCTATATATTGCATATATAATGTAATATATACCTTTTTGGTAGAGAAGAAGTGCATTTAGCTAGGTTGAGTTGAGTCACCTAAACTGGTCACACCATGTGAGTGCTCTTGGCCTAACCATGAGAAGGAGCCTAGCAACACAACACATCTGTCAGCACATAGTTAAAATGAATAATTAAAGCAGGTAAGAGAAAACTGAATAAGGGGTTCCTTTTTGGAGGTTTGGGTGGGGGGAGGTGTTGTCTTTTGTGGGGGGAGTGAGTGAGGGGTGTGATTCTTTTTTGTTAACTGACACTTGTAAAAGACTGTTAGCAGGTATGTAAATGAAAATCCCTTTGCAGTCATGTGTGATCAGGAACAGAAATAGCTTCCTTTCCTGTTATAAAGTTGTTTGAATCTTTCTGCATGTGTTTACCCGTGCACTGGAAAGGGGATGGAAGAGGATTTTACACCAGCCAAGATAATAGTTTCTCCACCAAGAATCCCATAGATTTTTCAAAGATTCCCTCTCTTTTTTTTCTTTTTTTTTTTTTCCCTGCACTGGATAAACAGGAGTAATTTAACAGACACTTTTCCAATAGGAATATTAATGGAAGTAAGGGAGGTTTGTATACAGGCATGTTAGGAGTTAACAGCAGGGCTCAGGAAACAATCAAAAGTCAATTTGTGCTGCAGTGGTGGGTTAATAGTCAAAGGAAGATCATTCTGCCTCATCCAAAATAACAGATTGTCCCAGAGATGAAATCACAGTTCTCTGATAAACTGCAAGAACAACAGTTAGTGACCTTTAACATTAGATTAAAGATACAAAAAAAAACAAAATTTGAACACACAGGTGAAAGAAAGCTGGATGGAATTTCCCTCTCCATGTTATTCCAGGCAGTATCCCTAAAAGGGCTTTCATTTACATAGCTTTATTAGGACCACCCCCGCAGGGCACACTTATTTTCTGGGGCCAAACCATTTTCTGGTCCCTTTCATGCAAAAGACCACATTTTAACAAATAACTTAGTTTTAAGAACAGGAGGACTACCCACAGCCTAGACTTCTGATGCAGCACACACAGACGTTTCTCAGGACATCTGCAAATGAGAGTCTTTCTTAGCATGTCTTCTGTTTGGGGAGCAACCCAGGACCTCTCCCAACTTACCAGCAGGCAGGAAGGTGTAGCACCTCATCTCTAGCAGCTACTGATGTTTGCCCTCTGCCAATTAGCCTTGAATTGGAAATTACATTTTTATATTTAAAATACATATATATACACACTGCAGTTGATATAGAAAGGTGAATAAATGTACTTTCCTACAGACTACTAGTTGGCTTGGGTGGGCAGGTGGTTGGTTTATTTTTGAAGTCCTTCTTCTGCCATCTCAAACCAACATAAAATTATTTATAAGGAACTACATGGAACCTATAAAATAAGCTGTATATGGAAGGCAGCTGAATGTCTTAAATACTTTTTTTTAAACTCAGTTCAGCTCTGCTGCCCAAAGATAAATGTGGGAGAGTGCAGAATACATGGCATGTACCAAGCAGCCCAGCAGATATATGGAATAGTGTTTGGCTGTATGGCAAGTCCTGTACTCCAGTATACCAATCCTCTTACCAAACGGGTCTTTTATAACAAGCAATAGGGATTTTTAAAGAAAGGGATTTTTTCCCCATGTTTTTTCTACAGATCCTTCAGTGTCCTTGAATTCTGGTGGTTCTTTTAGCAACAAAAAGACTAGGCAACTGAAATCATCCCAGGAATCAATAGCTGGTTTGCTATTATTGACATTCCTGCAACTGTCTAAGCAGAAGTCCTAGTCTTATTCAGACAAAATCTGAGGGAATGAAATTGCTTCTTAGTGGTATAAGAAAACTCCTTGATTTATACAGGCAGGTACTGCTGTAGCTTTTACAGATACAAATGATAACCTAAGTCATACTATAGGTTTTGTATAGCCTGTAACACCAACACCATATGGAAGTGCATAATAACACTGCAAAACTGTTTTAATTATGTTTTTAAAATCACATTACCTGGAAAGACAGACTGTGAAATATCATATATGCTATCATCCCTTAAAGAAAGGTCTTAGAATTCCAGCATTTGTTAACAGGTTTCTGTCTTAGCACCCAGTTCCTTACATAACTAGCTAGATCAGTATTTTAGTTGTCATTATTTTCTAAGCAATAAGTGTCAATCATTACTCTACATATTCATTTTTTAGTAGATTCCTACTACTGAAGAGTGGAGATGAGGTTGGAAAAAGAAATAGGATTATTCCGATAAAAAACTGAGGAGCACCACATAGCC